CCCAAAAAACTCATTAATATCAAAGCTGAATGTTTTTGGAAGTAGTTTTTAGTTTGTTTTTAGTTTTAGCTATTTTAGGGGGATATCTGTGTGTGCAGGTGACTATTACTGTGCATAATTATTAGGCAACTTAACAAAAAACAAATATATACCCATTTCAATTATTTATTTTCACCAGTGACACCAATATAACATCTCCACATTCACAAATATACATTTCTGACATTCAAAAACAAAACAAAAACAAATCAGCGACCAATATAGCCACCTTTCTTTGCAAGGACACTCAAAAGCCTGCCATCCATGGATTCTGCCAGTGTTTTGATCTGTTCACCATCAACATTGCGTGCAGCAGCAACCACAGCCTCCCAGACACTGTTCAGAGAGGTGTACTGTTTTTCCTCCTTGTAAATCTCACATTTGATGATGGACCACAGGTTCTCAATGGGGTTCAGATCAGGTGAACAAGGAGGCCATGTCATTAGTTGTTCTTCTTTTATACCCTTTCTTGCCAGCCACGCTGTGGAGTACTTGGACGCGTGTGATGGAGCATTGTCCTGCATGAAAATCATGTTTTTCTTGAAGGATGCAGACTTCTTCCTGTACCACTGCTTGAAGGTGTCTTCCAGAAACTGGCAGTAGGACTGGGAGTTGAGCTTGACTCCATCCTTAACCCAAAAAGGCCCCACAAGCTCATCTTTGATGATACCAGCCCAAACCAGTACTCCACCTCCACCTTGCTGGCGTCTGAGTCGGACTGGAGCTCTCTGCCCTTTACCAATCCAGCCACAGGCCCATCCATCTGGCCCATCAAGACTCACTCTCATTTCATCAGTCCTTAAAACCTTAGAAAAACCAGTCTTGAGATATTTCTTGGCCCAGTCTTGACGTTTCAGCTTGTGTGTCTTGTTCAGTGGTGGTCGTCTTTCAGCCTTTCTTACCTTGGCCATGTCTCTGAATATTGCACACCTTGTGCTTTTGGGCACTCCAGTGATGTTGCAGCTCTGAAATATGGCCAAACTGGTGGCAAGTGGCATCGTGGCAGCTGCACGCTTGACTTTTCTCAGTTCATGGGCAGTTATTTTGCGCCTTGGTTTTTCCACACGCTTCTTGCGACCCTGTTGACTATTTTGAATGAAACGCTTGATTGTTCGATGATCACGCTTCAGAAGCTTTGCAATTTTGAGACTGCTGCATCCCTCTGCAAGATATCTCACTATTTTTGACTTTTCTGAGCCTGTCAAGTCCTTCTTTTGACCCATTTTGCCAAAGGAAAGGACGTTGCCTAATAATTATGCACACCTGATATAGGGTGTTGATGTCATTAGACCACACCCCTTCTCATTACAGAGATGCACATCACCTAATATGCTTAATTGGTAGTAGGCTTTGGAGCCTATACAGCTTGGAGTAAGACAACATGCATGAAGAGGATGATGTGGACAAAATACTCATTTGCCTAATAATTCTGTACACCCTGTATACAGTTTTATTTAGCAACCAAGGGGTCACTGACCGGTCAATAGGTCTGTGTGAATGGGAAATTTACAATTAATTTCACAATGATTGTTAGCAACTCCTAGCAACCACTCATAACCGGTCAGGGAATACACAGTTTTCCTTAATGAATGGATGGTTGCTAACTGGCCTCTAGCCCTGTATCTAGCCCTGTATTAATGGGGCATGGGCAGGGAAGGATCGAGTCCCTGACAAATGTAGAAACATAAAGGAACAAGCCATCAGGAGTTTGTTTTTACTCTTCCCAGTAACTCAATGTAAACAATGTTTAACCATATTTATTGTTTAATTTGACACAGTTTTGAAGGATTTAGAATTTGGTGCTTTTATGGAGGAGAAGAAAAATGACAAAAATATCTTGTCTAGATGTGCACATGTTCTCAGCTGAAGGACTTTGCTCAGTTGTCAGGGAGAGTTAATACTTGTCATTTCATGCTCAGCTGAGCAACCTAGAGCTAGAGATGGCCATAAAGGCTAAAAGCTCCTGAAAAGAAAAACATTAAGTGGACCTTTTTATTTAGTCAGGGTTAATAATGGTAGAAATTGGCAACATCACTTGCTTTCATCCTTACTAAATATCACAAGAACTGCACAAGGATGAATAATGAGCAAGAATTGCGTTGAGAAGTTGAGAGTGATAGGAAATTGCCCTTTCCCAGACTCTCAAAGCCAGTGGCCTGATGTTGCATGAACCTCATCTAAAATAGGGCAATGATTTCTTACCCTGCTCTTCGCCCTGTTGTTTGCTTGGATCTCCTCCTAAAAAAATATGTTTAGTTTCTTTTTCTTTTCTTTTTTTGAGAAAATCTGCATTAAAAAAGGGATGATATTTCAACACACATCAACATTCATGAATACACATCATTCCAGAGACAAGCCAATACCCGTGTTACTGTCTGCTTTTGTAAAATTAAACAGAATTGCAGTCTGAGTGTTTCTTGAGAAAAATGCTTGCACATTTTGTTTTTTTTACTTGGTGCCCCACGGCTTAAAGATTACAAGGTTACACCAGAATAACTGTAGATAAGAATTAGTAAATTATATATGTACATTCCTGTGTCCCATTTTCTCTGCAGCAACCACCATTGTGGAAGCGGGCAAAGACAAGAAGAACCCCGATGACTTTGCCGAGGCACTGGATTCAGTTCTGGGGGATTTTGCATTCCCTGATGTTTTTTTGTTTGATGTATGGGGAGCTATTGGAGATGTCAAAAATGGCAGAATCTAGATGTTTGTTGTACACATATGAGAGAAGAAGAGCTCTGTTCTCTGGTATATCAAGCTGCAAAAAGGTAAAACGTAGAAGTGCGTAAATATTGCCTTCCAGTCCCTATATTCATTTTGAATCACTTGCAATCATGGCCGCACTGTGATATTGTTTGAGAAATGGAATGTTGCTAATTTGTGCATAACAGATTCTTAATGTTCTACTAAACTGGACTGTCAAATCTTTACAAGAAATACAATGCACAGTAATCTGCAGAGTAGTTTTTAATGCATTTGGCTAAATGAATAATCAGAAATTACTAATTCATCATCATTAGAAAGCTGTGATTGAATGTTTAATTAAAAAGAGATGCATTTAATAGAGGTCTTGACGTCTGCCACCAGGGTGCAACGGTATGTTATGAAACTGCAAGAGTTGGAACCAGCTGAGGAATCCAGAAAAAGCAGTTAGCACCAGTAAGTCTGTTTCACTTTGAAAGGAATTGCTGCGAAAACAGGAAAGAAACATTTACAGGACATTCAATCTTTCTCTCAGTTAATAACAACTAATATAAGGTAAATAAAAATGTGTGTTTTGGATTTTACCAAGTGTTCCAGAAAAAGGCATTGCAGCTTTAAATATTCTCAGTCTTGCAGTAGGTGACTGACCTGACTTGAACTTACAAAAAAAAGTAAAATAAAATAAAATAAAAAATAATCAAAGCTGTCATCTAAAAACTGAATACCAGGGGAGCAATCTAAATGTTCCTGCTCTGCAATACCTGTAGATTCCCACATGTGGAAACTGCTGTCAAACTCCATATTCGAACCATAAGCACCCACAGTCAAAAAGAAATCAAAAAAATATTTTGGTGGATTCTTGTGCTTGTATGTAAACTCTTACTCTTAGTTTTCCTTAAAAAATGGAAAGAATTTCTTGTGGTTGTTGAGAAAAGGAAAATGTTACATATTCATTAACATTGTACCATGTTTCACTGAGGGAGCCTTCAGTCTGTTTAAAAAAAGAGAGAGAGCAAATATACTATAGCAGTTTGTTGCAGCATTTCATTATCACTGCTCTTAGTTTCAGTGTGTAGATCTCGCTTTGTGTTTCTGCATTGGTTAGTATATCCAGTAAAAAAAAGGAAGCATTAACTTAACACTGGAGTGGCATATTTTTTTCTGCCTTACCATTTTGCATACATAAGTAAAAAACTGAATGGCTAAATTTAAATGGTTTGACCTATTACATGGTTTGAGCAATATCAGTACTCTTCTTTGTGTTGCTACTTGACTGCATTTCTGTATGGGAAGTAAAATGGTTAAATATTTAACAGCAGCAAATATTTCTGTTTTATTGAGCCTTTATTTACGTGAACAATCAACATTTACTCCTCACTGTCATGGGAGAACTTTTATGGGATAAAAAAAAAACTGTTGTGGAAGACTGGTTGAGTTGATTGACATTACAGTGTGCATTACTTTATGTGCATGATGAGTGTAAAAATTGCTCTCTTCACAAAAAATATTCTCAGTCCACATCAACTTTAAAGCTTAGCCTTGAGATCTCAAAGAGGCAGAAGATTTTATAACAATCAAAATAAAATACAATAACGTTCTCCAAATTTAAACTCTAGACAGTGTACTTGTTTAGGTTATCTAATTGTAGTTTATCTAGATGTTTAGGATGCACTGTAATTCCTCCACTAACTGAGTCCTGCTTTTTAAAGGGTGAGTTCATTCAAATTATAAATCTTCACACATGCATTTTCATACTTACTCCCACTTACACTTAACCATACTTTGGCACAATACATCATTTTTAATTAACACCTTCCATTCAGTTGAGCAGCACTTGTGCATTTTAATGGATGGTATACCAAAATAAAACAAATTTATATCTAAGTGACTACATGCCAGTATTTGTTAGGGACAATAAAGAGATGATTTCTGGAGATCATGAGAACGACATACCAGTTATCAGTAAAATTTTCAACTTATAATGAAGTTACCATCTTTTGATCCCTCATTTCTTCACATTTTCCCAATACTAACGTTCAAACACATTGGAATTGCTAACACACTGTTTTCACTGCACATATTCTAGATAAATATACAGGAATGAAAGGTGGGTCAAGACTTTTGATATTTGTAATAATCCATCTTTTTTCGTCTTGTAAACATCCTTCAGCCCATATGTAACAGACAACCTTGAAACAGAATATCTCACTCAGTAAAAAAACAATGAAGTTAAATGCAAGAAACGGATCGTTTAACATTTTTCAATCTTTTATAGGTTTTCAGAGTTTGTGACATGTTCAGTCAGAGTAACTATTAGCAAATGTATGTGAATATAGTATAATATGATATTTCTTGTTAACAATAGGCACTTCTACAATATTACAGTTTCTATATTTCAGGTTCATGGGACTAGGCTGCCTGTGGGTTTCCTCCTAAAATGGTTAGCACAACATCAGGTCTAAGCATGCATCAAACAAAGAGAAAACAAGATAATTTATCCTATTTAATGGTACATTAAATACGGTTAACTTAATGCAGGAGTATCTAGGTAGCAGTGCATATAGTTAACTTCAGTGTGATGTATGGAGCTGAGAGTATATGTCTGATCCCTGTGATCACTCATTTCTGATCAGAGAAACAAACACACACTGTACCATGAGCCTTAGTCAGGTGACTTTAAGGTAGACGGAGAAGTGACATTTGACTTTGTTGTTTCTCCTGTTTCATCTGAGCCCAGGTTGCCCCCTAATGAAGATCGTGTGAATCTGCGTGCAGTCTCTTGAAAATATGGGTACAAAGTCATGATTGAGCTCCGGGACCAGTCAAAGCGGGGGTAGACTCTCTTAAAGACTGCCCTCCGGAACAGGATATAAACCCATGGGTCGAGGATCTGGTTGCAAGTGGCAAAGCGGAGGTACAGCAGCAGTTTCCTGACCCAGAGAGGATCGCTGGAGAACACTGTTTGAGCAATAAAGACCTGGATGTGGAGGAATAATATAGGGACAGACAGAGAAAAGCAGAAGTAAAGAGAAGCATGAAGGAGGAAGCAGTTGACGGGGGAGAAGATGGTAAAGAAAGGAAATAAGAAATAGCAAAAGGAAGAGATTGGAAAAAGCGAATAAGAGAAGGGAGATCAAATAGGTTAATATTGCAGATCTACACAAGCATTCACTATAAGTTATGTCTAGTTTAAAAAGAAAGGCTAGGCTAATTTTGTCATGGTGTCCCTGAGGCAGTGGCTGCTGTAACATAGCCTAATTACCCATTACCCAATTACCCACATTTCATGTGAGGCACAGCATTATTAGCATTACCCCAACTGTCTCCAGAAGGGGGAAAACATGCTAACAAGCTCCTGCAGGAATTAAAAACCGGCCTAGTGTAGCTTATAGTTTCTTTTCAAAATTTAGCTTGTGTCACAGTTCTGTTCTCCTGAGTTTTTGCATCCAAGCAATGCAAGAGACCATGCAAGATGAAGCGTTTTTGTGAGGCAAATGCCTCTCAGTGGTATTGGTACTCCATGGGCTCATGTTTTGCAGAGTGCCAGTTAACATTGGCTTATTTTCATTTTCAAAAACAAAGAAGAAAACTGACATTAAGAATAATAATTTCATATAGGCTCAACTGCAGATAACTGCTTGATTGCATTTGTCCAGTTCGCAGTACTTCCAGGATTTCTGCAGCTATACTCCAAAGGAAAAAAAATATTAGAAACTAAATGAAACGAAAATCTGCAAAACGAAAAGCTACCATGTTTCTGATGACAGAACATACGTGTGTTAATTTTTCCAAATTAAAGAACGTGCAAGGCCAAAAAACAAGCATGATGAAAAGTTTAATGGCTATTAACTGGAGAAAGAATGGAACGAAACTTTGAGCATATAAGTATTGGTTTGGAAGTGGCAGTGCGTGAAGTGGACTGATGAGTACAAATCTATCATTTGGAGATGTTTAGGGCACGTGACCAACTAATTGGCAAAAATACGGTGCCATGGGGGTGAGCGGTGATGGCAGATGAGCAGAGTTAGATTTTCGTTTCACGTTTTACTCGCCTTAGTGGGGACACTTGAAACATGATGTAAATCCATGGGTCTAAAATCTGATTGCAGGTGGCCATTCGTATGCCGAACAAAACCACATTAGCATCAGGAACTTCAGAAGTCTTCATGCACACCAAAATGTATATCTGTACAAGGTATCACACAACTAATGTTAGACCAGACTGCAGAAAAATGTGTGCTCCACTCAGGGACTTTAGTCCTTATTATTTTGTTCTCTGGCAAACTCAGTTAAAAAAATGAAGTAGTTGATTTATTTTTTTTAACTATACATAGGAAAGCAAAAGTGTAAAGAACTGAATTATGCAATAAGTGATTCCTATTAGAAGTATAAAAATGATAGGTAGATAATGCAAGATAGGCTGAACGTAACTGAAATTGTCTAATTTTTATACAAATTAAAAATGCATCAGCATCTCATCAGTATCTATAAATAACACCTCCCATAGAAGGTCTGGGTTTTATTTTGAGTCTTGGTTGCCACACTGGAACTTTCTGGACTTTTTCAGTGCTGTTTGACATTGTACTAGATGTTTTCCTTTAAAGGCTCTGCTTCACTCTTGAGTTGAAATATGTCATCTCAAGTGGGGCATTAAGGGGCTCTTTGATCCAGTGTAAGTACAGACGGTTTTCAGATCAGCTAGTAAATAGGCTGCATCACTAAGAAGAATTGAAGCATACACAGAGGAGCAGAGAAAAGGAGCTTAGGACCTTGTGATGCCTCATTAAGGTTCAAACATTTTAAAAGAAGCGCTGGTAACAAAAAACTAGATAGTTAAGGTCATGGCGCGGTGCTTTCAAACATATGAAAACCATTTTCCACACAACAGCAGGTGGACACAGTAAAAGTAAGTGTGTCACCTTGCAGTATCTTGAAGATATTAATTTCCTATCACAACCTCATGATTAATGTTTAGTGAACAGTCTTTATAAATGTTTAGCCCGTCAGGCTACTTTTGTTTTTTATATATATATTCTGAGTATTTCTTTGATCATGAAAAAATAGAAAATTTATTGTCAAGAAACACAAACCTAGCCTAAAAGAAGGTAAAAACAAGAGAGATCTTCTCCTTCTGTCTACAAGAGAAGGCAGTGAAATCTTCCATTGGTCTTATGATCACACAACACACAAATAGACCAGACTGCAATTATGGAGTTCAACACACTGTTACACTGGTTGAAAAAGGGCCAGATGTTTCTGTGGAGGGCAGTGACTGTTGTACAAGACCAGAGTGCTCCATTTATCCTGCAACATCACATCAGTTCACTCTCTGGGTCATCAGATAAATTGTTTCTTTCATATGAGGATTAGATTTGAAAAAGCTGCTACAAATAAAACATTTCTTGACCAAAGACAGCTACTTTATAGAAAGTTAATATGAAGAGACAGGGGTGTACTAGTATTTGTTCAAATGTACACACAGTGTTATGTAACAACTCTTCCTATAACAGAAAGCTTACATAAATTAGTCAAAGAATCAGATGTTAGATTCATAAATAATTTGTCTGGCCCTTCAGTCTGATCTCCATTTCTGCTTGTCTGGAAATCTCCTTGGCTACATGTGCTTGACACTGAATTGCTCTACCTGAAAGTGTTATCTCTTTCTTTCCGGCTCTCTCTCTGACTCCCTCACCTCTTCTCTGGTGTTGTAGAATAAAACAGGAATTAGCCGACTGACTAGTCATTTCCAGTGTCATTTCCAAGCATGGAAATGACATTGCTCGTTAATTATTATTTGTAGACTAATTGAATGTTATTGTCCAGTAAAAGTGCTATAGAGTGCTATATAATTGAAAAAGATACAAAAAGTATTTTTTTTTATTAACATAACAATATAGTACCTTAAATAAAAATAGAAAATTACACCCCATTATATGAGGAATTACAGTGTACATTGTGAACAAGAAAACAGCAGCATTAATGTGACTTTAATTATCATCAGTTATATTTTTACATAGTTTGCTGTTCCAGAACATGAGGTTTACTAACTATTAATGTTATAGACTGGAAAAATGATATAATTCCTCATGCTGTTTGAATAGATAAACAAATAAATAAGAGAAGTGCTAAGTGCCTAGCTTTACATGTTTTTAACTCACCAATTTAAATGTTATCATGGCTAAAAAATGTATAATTTTGCATGTGACTGACAGTTGGGTGCTGACGTAGGTAGCTGTAGTGGGTAGCTGTGTGCTAGGCTTCACCTCAACTGAACTGAGGTACGGAACTGGATCTCTCACCTGTTTCTAAGAAGTAAGAAAGTTTAAAATAATAATAATATTTTTTTTTAAATAATTCTTAGTAATCAGTTTAATAACAGAAAATGTCCTTGTTTTCCTGTTTTCAAAATAGTTTTTGTTTATTTACGCAATACGAAACAAATTCAGTTTTTTTTAAATTATAGCATAAAATCCTTTGTGTTTTATACTAAAATTAAAAATCAAGATTAAAAACAAAAAAAAAAATCAACAACAAACAATACAAAAAAAATATTTAGCCATTAATAATTTGTGTTCATGTAGGTTATTAGGCAATAAAGTAACTGGTGTGACACAAAAGATGAAAATTGGGGCTGTCTGTGTCATGACTTATTGCTTACTGTTATTTATGCTATTTAAGAGTGAAATTGCTAAATTCGGTTCTGTATTACTAGTGTATTACGCATTAGTTATATTAATTGTCATTTTTGCCTTTCTTTTTGTCTATATACAACAACCTACCCAAAACCAACCAACTAACCAAAGAAACAAATAAACAAGCAACCAACCAAACAAACAAACAAACTCACCAGGAGGGGGCACCAGCTGATAGAGGCAATAATCATGATCAAGATAAGTTGCACCATCATCTCGACTTCATGGTCTCGGCTCCGCTGTGTCCTGTCCTGTCCGCAGCACACCTTGATAAGCGTCACCACACTCACTGTGTTCAGTAAAAATGACACAACGATTGAAGTCAACCCCACGAAGGAGAAGAGCAGGGAGAAGACCATATCACTTCCTTTCGAACTGATGTTGAAAAAACACCAAGAACCAGGAGCCTGTATGTGGTAGCTCCCGATGCCTATTAAGGGCAGCAAAGCAATACAGCCAGCAGCCAACCATACCATCAGCACCATGTAGACTGTCCGGCTCTTGCTCATGTTGGTGGAGCGTGCAAATGGACGGTTAATGCCACAGAAGCGCTCCATGGCCATTGTGGCACTAAGCAGCAGTGGGCACAGTCCATAGAAGACCATAGACATACCCATGAAGTTGCAGAAGTGGCAGTTAGGATCTACTTGGCGCCAATTAAAACGTGTAAAATGGAAGGAGACCACAATGGAACCTGTGACCAAAAGACCCATAAAGTCAGTAACTACAAGACCGGCCAGGAAGATTAAGAAGAAAGACCGTGACCGATTCCGCATTCGTCGGAAAGATTTGACAAGAACAATGAAGGCAATGAGATTTGAGGTGATTCCCAAAGTGCTGAAGATGGTTGAGAAGTATGCTGAGCTGATGGGACGTGTGTAATTGAACGGAGGGCTTTTGAGGGAGTAACATTGTGGAGTGTTGTTGGCATCTGAGGTATTCATCGTGGCTAGCTGGTACACACTCGTTGACTTGAGGTGACTCTGAGATGAAAAGACAATACGAGTTAGAAGAGTACAAACAAAAAAATCAATCAATCAATCAAACAAACAAACAAGCAAACAAACAAACAAACAAACAGAAAGTTAAAAAATTACATAAAAAATATAATACATTCATCCAAGCACCAAGATAATAGTAATTGGACAGCCACACAATACCCATTGCAGGGACACTACAATTATTACCAGAAGGATTTTATTTTTTTGACTACTACATATGTACATACATTTTGTGTCATTGTGTATTGCATGGTTAGCTTAGTTGTACCACCAGACAGTCAAATCCTATTGTTCTCGCATGCTGTGGCAGCACTACAACCTCATAGCACCAAGAGTTTGGCTTAAAATCCCTGAGTTTTCTAAGGAGTTTATATAGTGTGAGAAAGAACTGTCTCTGTATATTTTTATGAGTTTTTGCTGGTTGGGTCGACTCTTACAGTATAAACAAACTGAGCAAAGGTGACATAATCTGTCAGAAGAGATGGACCGATGTTGTTGCACTTCAGATGTGGTGACGTCCAAGATAAAAAATGTGTTTACTCTAACACAGTTCTAAATGGCACATTCCCAACTCTTTATTTACATCGAGCATACTGCAACACATCATATTTCTAATTAGAGCACCTTTAATGGCTGAAGCCTATCTTATCATGCAAAAAAGCAAAACACATTGAGGTGTCACAGTAGTTCAACAGTCAGTGGTTTAAAAAACCACTTCTGGTTAACGATCATTTCTTTGTTTTTATAATTTTTCATCATTTCATTGGTTGTTATGACATCAGTATTGTATTGCTACAACAGAGGCTGAAAATGCAATGAACAGTTCTATGGACGATTAAACACATAGCAAAGAAAGCTGACAGTGCGTCTGAATTATTAAAAACCCTTTATCTGGAGGTAAAATCATTGTTGCCAGATATCAGGGGATCCAATATTTTTAGTGTCGACAACACTGATTGCCTAAACTATGAAAATAAACCTTTAGAATGCAAAGTAACAGCTCAGACGCAGATGTACACAGCACCCACACAAACGCATGCAGACAGTGACAGTATGGGGCAGAGATGGAATGAGTGACAGAGAGACCGAAATAGACAGAGTGGGAGAGCTGGCATATCCTGCCAGGAAGTTCAGTTTGGTGGCACTAAAAGGAAATAAACATAGAATCAGACATAATCAGCTCTTGGTATTCTTTCCCCAGTAAAAAAAAAAAGAAGTCTGAGGATGGTAATATGGAAACAAATATCCATAGCTTTCATTAATCTAAATATTTGTTTCACAGCACATCACCAAGATACTGATTTCATCCTGTGTTAACTAAAGAAACTACAGCAACTGTAGGTTATTGCTTTAAGAAACAAATTTATATACAAAAACCTATGCAGTATGATCTAAGAGAAAGACTTCAATGAGAAACATATGCCTGTACTATACTCTATAAAATTATGCCTGTTCAGTAATGTGTTGTTACCTTACTTACAAACACCCCCAAAATTGGGAAGTTGTAAAATGTAAATAAAAACAGAATCCAAAGATTTGCAAATCTAGTATACCAATATTTTATAGCAAATAGCAAACCTAAAACATACCAAATATTTAAACTGAGAACATTTAAAACTTTAGGGAAAAATATGAGCTGATTTTGAATCTAATGGCAGCAACATGTCTCAAAAGAAGTTGGGATGGGAAGAACAAAAAGTCGGAAAAGTAAGTGGACCTAAAAAAAGAACAGCCAAAGGAATGTTTTGCAGCTAATTAGGTTACTGGCAACAGATCAGTAACACGAATGGCTATAAAAAAAACCCACATTTTAGAGAGGCAGAGGTTCACCAATCTGCAAAAAAAAAGAAGACAAAAGAAAAGAAGCAAGTATGGAGCAACTTCAGAATATTGTTGCTCAACATAATATTGCAAAGACTTTTTTTTGTCATGTCATGTTGCCATGTTGCATGTCCACAAATGCAGGCTAAAGCTCTGTCGTGCAAAAAAGAACCCATGTGTGAAGATGATAGAGAAATGTTCAAGGGTCAAAGGTAATTTAAAATGTACTAAACTGTTCTGTTGTCAGATTATTTGAAATTTGAAATTCTTTTTTGTAAACATGGCCAGCGATTTCTCCGGACATAAGAAGAAAGAGTAGTTCAAAAGCCTGGGGGTGAATTAGTGCCCATGAACTGACAGATTACTGATCTGGAAAGGCACCTTCAGCAATGAAAGACTTTTATTCACTTCATATCAGAAGAGTCTGGGCGCTTAAATAGGCCTCCTGTAGCCCAGATCTCTCACCAACTGAAATCATTTGGAGCATCAAGACAGAAAAAATGCTCAAGTAGTCCCAAGACTATTGAGCAGCCACAATAATACATCAGACAAGAATGAGATAACATTCCTCTCCCAAAAGTCCAGCACCCGGTCCCCTCAGTTTTCAGATGTTTATGGACTGTTCTTAAAAGAATGCCAAACAGTGGTAAACATGGCCCAGTCCCATCTTCTTGGAGGTGCGTTGCTGCCATCAAAATCAAAATGAGCCAATACTTTTCTAAGAACTTGTAGATTTTCTCAGTTCAAGTCTTTGATGTGTTTTATATGTTCTATACTTTGCTTAGTTGCATTTGTACTTTGGATTGTCTTTGGCACTATTTACAAAACACATCAGTGAATCCAGTAAAAATTTCTATTACCATCAGAATTTTGTTTGTTTCACTATTTCACTGTTTGGTGTTATACTTGTGCAGTAGCTTTTAAGAAGACACATCATGGGAGGAGGATATACAGAAATGCAACAGAAAAAGACAAATAAAGACAATAAAGGACAAAACGGAGAATTATACAGGTTTTTAAAAGTGAAAAGCTTCTGATGCTGTTATTAATATGTACTGACACTAAAATGCAGCAGAATAAAACTAAAAGCTGTCTCAGACAGTTGTGTATTATTGGCAGCAGCGAATGATCATTGTCTTGCCACTTCTAATTTCAATGACTAGAAATTGTGCAAACTAAAATCTGACTGCTGGATTTCCCCCCATAGGGAATTTTCTTCCACTTGTCCATTCTTTTTCCTGTAGTCTATTGATTTGCTTCTACATTTGAAATCATAACAATGCAGAGTGGAATGCACAGAACTTTTAACAGGCAGGAAGACAACTTTAGTAACTTGAAGAATTAGGCTAAGTGCTTCTGTATTGAAGTGAAACAATAAAACAATCCAAATTGTCTAAACTTTGGCCAAGTGGGCATAGACGACCTGTATTGTTTCACACGCCAACTGGGCACAGACTGGTAGCTCGTTAGGAATGAAAACAACTGAACCACTAAAACACCAAACAGGTGTCTGTTTTTAGCCTGCTTTCATGCAGTAATCTTGTAAAGCATCAAATTTATCCTTCAAACTAGTTTAGAAGAACTTAATGCCTAGTGCTGAAAATGCCACTGCCTAAAAGGAGATCATGAAATCAGGTTCGGTACACCAATTATTTGCTCAATCATCAAAAACAACTCAGATGAATATTTTGATGTTGCTTTGATGTTTGTGCGAGTGGTGGAAACCATTATAAATCAGCCATGAAACTAAGATATGAGCCCTTTTCCTTTACTACATCAGAATTTTATAATATTCGTTTAATCTCGTTAATAGAGTGGATACATATTAAGAACTGTAGAACCCAAAAAAACTGTGGCAATATGTTTTTGCCACAGAAAACTGAAGATACAGAAACTGAGACAAGTCATTGCACAGTTTACAAAAGGTAATGAAATCCTTCACGTCCTTAGGAAGTGCTATATGATGAACCTGCTCTCGTATGATCTACAAAACCTTTTTAAAGAACAATTAGCCAAAAGTGCCTGTTAGAATCCAAGATCAATATGTCATACTAAATACTGTTCCACTATGGCAGTAAAAATGCTTTACCAATGGGCCTAATGCAAAACCACAGAAATGCATTCATGAGTTTTCCACTTATCCTGAAATGTTGAGAATGGTGAATGCATGCAAAACAATATTAACCCACAAGGTTTTGCTGGTTTAAAGAAGATGAATAAGAATCATTAATTAACTGTCCTTATGATATACCATAACATACAATACAAATGATAAAAGTATATAAAAAAAATCTCTAGACCTGTGTAGTTTGCGCATATGCAGTAATATAAGAAAAAAAGCTTAGCACTTACAAATCACTGAGTATTAAAGAAGACTTCACAGAATTGTTTTCAAGGATCATTTGTCTTGCAGTTGTAAAGTTTTTACTTCTCCATCGTTAACATCTCTCTTAAAAGATCAAAAATTATGCAAATTATAACAACTAGAAGACATGGGATAGATACCTTACATCACAAGTTCAGCTTGATGACAAAAAGACCTTTAGTAGCAACCCTGGCTCATCTTTACTCCCTTCCCCCAGCTATGTCCTCTCCTCTACTCTTCCTACTCTGATACTCATCTCCCCCTCGTCCAGTCTTGCTTCCTTTTGCACAGTACACTCCTCTCAGGAAGTCAGAGGAGGGGAGGGCTTTAGGAAGGCACGCTTTCTTTTTCCATGCAGCAGAAGAGCATAGAAAGAAAAAGTATGACTGTAAAAATGTTTGCTTTTAAAGGCTGGCAAGTGATCTAAAAAGGTTAACAAGCAAAAAGTAAATGAAAAAAACACGACCCCAAAACACATGGACGGCAATCAGGTTGTTTTAATAAGGACAAAGTTGTCCCTCAAGCATTTTATCTCATGTTTTGGAAAACAGGCTGGAGGACAGATGTTTTGAACGCAAATAGATACCGCAAGGCCGTTAACATTCATTTTAAGACTCTGTTTACAGTCACAAAAATATGTTTTAATTATAAAGCTCTATGATAAAATGAAAACAAGAACCGAATTAGAAACAATGTTCAATTTCTATATTGTCACTTGTGAATACCACCAGAAATTGTTTTGCTGGATGTGAAGCGACACGAACGTAAAGGATTGCAGAGAGAAAAGTACTAGAATCTCAAATCATTATCTTTTATCCGCATCCAGGAAGCCGTGGCAAAGCACGAGTGGCAGACACAAAAGAAGAACAAAGGTCCAATGTAGTTATAATACTTTGTGGGTAGCAACACAGCATTTTTACAAGCGGTAAAATCGAATCAAAACGACAACTGTGTGGCATTGTTTGTAAATATCTCACTTTCTGCCCGTTATTGGCAAAAACCTGGGCCAGCCGCATGTCCAAAAGTCTGTTTTATGGGTCGTAACACACCAGACTCTTCTGTTAATGTAGTTAAAGTTATAGATTTTAAAGCCTAAAGATATCAGTCTGTGTGTAACCTATATAGCATTCGTGCATTGGAAAGGAATGACAAAAACATCTCTGAAAGGATCGTGGGAGTAAAAGCAAGCTTTCCAAAGTTATGATACAAAATTATGTCAGATGCTTGCATTTAATGCAGACACATGCAGGAAAGCATGCAAATAAATACTTGAATATAATCTTGTAGAAAAGCATAAACACTCCAAAGTGATGGAAGGTCCCGGGCCACCGAGTTCTTCCTTGCAGGACTATTGTTTACATGACTGGCCTTGTTTTAAATCTCAATGGCAAGCTGTCTCGTGTGCTTCCAATAGACTCCCTCCTTATTTGTACACCCTGTCTAAACCAGAAACAGAACCAGAGGTGTGATGCCAAAACATCTGGAACGTTCTACTTTATATAGTAACTTTTTAAACTTCTTTTAGATAAACAACATGACTTTCTGACACGACAGTGTATGTTTCTGCCGGAAAAAGAACTTTTTTACAGACGTTTATGCAAAGTGTACGAAAACTATGTACACTTTATCACTCAGTAGCTTGTATGCAGCACTTTAAACATGTTGAGCATGTTGATCTGCTGCTGTGCCCTATTGCAATGATCAATGATGTTTAAGCTGTAGGACAGTTGGCCTCACATTTCACACCAGAAATATAAACAGGAGTCCATGGTGAATTACTGCAAGGTGCCCCACCAACATCATTCCCCATCTACCAGTCTGCTTGAAAGTTGGTGTGAGGTGTTTGTGCCGATATGCTGTGTTTGATTTTCACCATGATGCTGTGCATTTCAGTTAATTTTAGTTAATCTGTCTGTTAAGGGTTGTGCCACATTTTGTTTAACTGCTGCACCTGTACAGTATGTCCCATCTCATTCCCTCAGGTCAACAGACCAGATGCTTTTACTCATTCCTAGGTGACAAAGCTTTCGCACTTGTGGCTCCAAAACTGTGGAATCGTTTGCCATCGCTCCTTCACTTGCTGCACTTTTACAGCCTTCAACCCAGCGTGCAAACTGTGAGTTCAAGTGATTTTTTATGTATTCTTTATTCTTTTTTTTTTTTTTTTTCCTGTCCCGTTTAGCTCTTTTGCCATCAGAATTGTTGTCTAAAGGCAAAGAAAGATGCCCAACGGATTTACTTTACCAAATTGACCATCCCAGCCTTGCCGTAATGGTCCATTTGATTCACCTTTTATTGTTTATTTTATTTTCACTTACTGAATACGGGACAGACTTGACTGGGGGAAAGAAGGGGAGAAAGAAAGAGGGAAAGAGAAACAGCTGAGAAGAGGGACGGGGAGAAGGGCAAAAGACAAAAACCAACAGAATGGGCAGCAAAAAAAAAAAAAAATGCATATATCAATCACCTGGATCACCGGGTTGAGCTCCTTGGGGGGCTCAACCCGGGGTAGCGGTCATGTCTGGTTAGGGGCTCTGTTGGCTCTCAGGTGACTGTTTCCTCGCGGCTGCGTGCAGCAGGGCTAGGGGAGGGTCTGTGCTGACGGACGTGGGTTACTGACCTGGTAGCCTGGCTGCCCCTGGGTGGGTCCGGGATGGGCGTGAGGTTCTGGGGGCGCTCCGTCTCTGGGCTGGGGCCCGGGCCGGGCCTCGGGGGCTTGGGTCCTGGTTGGTGTGTTGCCGGGGTTGTGGGCGGGTGGGTGCATGGGGGCCCAGTCCTGGAGCAGGGTGCCGCCGGTGCATCGAGCCACCTGGGGGGCTCTTCAACTGGTGGGGGAGATTGTCACATCTTGCAGGAGCTTTCCTTTCTTCAGGAGCTCCCTCTGCAGGAGGGGGAGATACAGGAGAGGTGGAGGAAGATCTCAGCCTGGGTGTTTATTGTCTTATGTAGTCTGGAAGATGAGTGGATGGTGGGGTGGGTGCAGTTTTCTCTGTGGTGGGTTTGGGTGGACTGTCCCGGGCTCTGTGGGGCCGGGAGGCGCTGCTGCACTGGGCCCCGGTCTGGATGGGCCTGGGCCCCCTTTCCCTGGCGGGTCGCGGAGTATGGGGTGCCTACTGGGGTCAGCGGGGGAGCTGGCCCCAGGGAGGGGTCACTTGCCCCTCCCTTCCTTCCCTCCCCATCTCCAGCTGCCTCCCTCTTCCTGCTCCACCACAACCACCCACACATGCAGGACCTTGGAGTAGGGGTATGTCACCAGGGTGCAGAGGAGGCTAATCCCCCCCTCTGTCCCCTTCTGGCTGCCTCTGCCTCAATTTTATCCCACAACTTAGACATTCACATTACTCACACTCTCATTACACATACTTGGGGGTGGGCACGATACACGGAATCCAAAGTACCATCAGGGTGTACACCTCACCCCTGGCGTCGTCGCCCACCTCTCAATTTTAAATACACGTAGACATTGAGGGCTAGCAGGAGGGACCATGCGTTTACCTGCTGCTCTCTGGCAGGTAGCTCCATGCCCTCCTGGGTTTTAATTGCACCTTAGAACACACATGCATCAACACTACAATGAGCGGGTGGAGGGAGGTTTGGAGTCTTCTCTCACCCCCATTCTCTGTGGCCTGCTGGAGCGGGGGGGCTGGGAGGAGGAGTTGGCCGTCCGACTCCGGTCTGGAGTGTGACCCCTGCTGCTGCGGAGTCGGGGCGGTCTGCCTCCCCCCACCGCAGGGAAAAGGGTAACACCACCTGGGTCTGGGTGCAGTTCCCCCCTCCAGGGGCAAGGGTACCTAGACCCGGTTTGTAGAGTACGCTTGGGGAGTGTGATCGTGTGTACAGCGTCTCTTTATGTCTGTCTCCACGTTGGTTGAGTGTGGAGTAAGTGCATATGAGAGCATGAGGGTGGGAATGGATGTTTGTATATGTGTGTGCCTGTATGTCTGTGTCTATATGTCAGGTTGGGTGTCAGGCGCCACCTCTCTGGGGACATCTCAGGCCCTCCAAGGTTTGGAGGCCTATCTCCCCCTACCACCACTTCCCCTGCCAGTGGCGGACTCCCTCAGACATCGGTGCGTTGGTGGTTCTTTGTGTCCGGGGATGGGTGCACACACCGGCTCACTCCTTGGCGGCCGCTTATCGGGGCCTGGAGCCTGGGGCTCGCTCGGGCCACTTCGGAGGTGGGGTGCCCCCGGCCTCTCGGCCTGGGGCTCGGTCACTCAGGCACAGCTGGCTGCCGGCGGAGCTCACGGGCGCGTCACTGCAACTCCCCCTGGCTTCTGCTCCGCGGCTGCTGAGTGAGCCCTCATCTGGGACTCTCCTCAGCTCTTTCTGGGACAGTGGCGCAGCTGCCCCTCTGTTGGTCTTCCTTGGTCTCTTGTGTTCTGGGGGCCTCTGGATGTCTGGAGTTTTGATCTCCTCCATACCTGCTTCATGCCCTGGAGGATGGGGCTGTGGCCCCCCCACACCCTCTAGCAGATCATTACATGAAGGAACCTTTTAAAAAAACAAGCGCGTCCATGCTCACAGGTGTACACACGGGTGATCACACCCACAAACTACACCCTTTTTGGCTCCTACCTCAAAGCACACTGTGTTCTGTTGATCTTATGTGCTGCACAATAATGTTTAATATTTAGTATTTACTGTCATATTCCCATATATCATTGTGATGTTGTTTTATTACTCTTGTTCTCTTCTGTATTCTTTATTCTTTAACTTCTACAGCTCTTTGACCCTTTGGCCTGTGTTCGTCTCGTATGTTTTGGAGATTCCGTATTGGAATTTCAGGAGCAAGACCACGCGTCCAAACACACTTCTTCTGGTTGTCATTGACATAGGTTCCCCTAATTTTGCAAGGTGTTCATTCTCGTTTACGTGCCCCACCCTCCTTCCTTGTTTCCAATTCTTTAACTTCTTCATTTCTATTTAGTGCATAGGGATCTGCCAGGCCCCTTCGAGGCCTTCCCCAAATTGCAACTCAATTCATGTCAAAGCATTACTTTTACCAACTGAAACACTGTCACAAATGAGGACGTGAGCCCATTGTATAGCTTACGTGGTTGCAGTGCTACCGGGATTTAAAAATAGTTACGCAAAATGGAGTGTGTCCGCTCCGACCGGCTCTAAAGGGTTAAAGGCAGACTACTTTAGGCCTGGAAGTAGGATTCGTCACGTCATCACTTAAAGACCGGATAGGCTTATAAGGCCTTGAAGGTAAAAAACTA